TTCATATGACGTTTTATCAAAGCTTTGTCATATTTTCCATCACGGACAAAAATAAAGTGATTGATTAACCATTATTGCATTGTTTATCTCTTTATGTCCTATTTTTTTCTATTCGAGGGAGGGGAGGGTCAAGGAAATAATCCAACACAGTTAAATAATCCAATAGGCATACAGTTAGATGAAACAAATGCTATTTTATACATAGCAAATGAAGGTGCACATGCTGTAACACAATATGGTTTGGGCTCATACAGAGAACATAACATATACGCTGGCATTCCAGGACGAGCTGGTAATTCTGCTGTACAATTATTTGATCCATCAGGTATAACTTTTGATCGTTATGGTAATTTGTATATTGCTGATAGTGGAAATAATCGTATACAAATGTTTTGCCCAAATTCTGTGTATGGCATAACGGTCGCAGGTACAGGTCAATCCGGAAGCGGTCCAGATCAATTGGACAATCCTCAGGGTGTTGCTTTGGATGCTGAACTTAATTTATATGTTACTGATACCTTAAATAATCGTGTACAAAAATTTCAAAAGATTTAATAATTGTCCGATGATACGATTAATTAAGGAAAGCATGAGTTTTCTTAAAAACGGTACTTTGAATTTTATTAATAAATGATCACGAAGTAATAAATATATTTTAAAACTCTAGAAGTACTGATTTAAGGTCCCCCCCCCCTCCCGTCGGAAAAATAATTTTTTTATAAAAAGTCGATATTGAGCTAAGCACATCATTCGATAGCCCATAGTATTTACTATCAGGATCCAGTGTTATTTGGTCCTTATCGAAGCCGTATGAAAGTTTTTAGAAAAGTTCTCTGAAACCTTGAAATGCTGAATTTCGAAAACGTTTTACTTTGCGACTGAAAAGCAAATCGAAAACTACCTTTAGTAATACCAGGAGGTAGAGCAAACATTTCTGATCAGAATGAGATGTTTCTCAGTTCTGAATGATGGTCTGATCAAGACTTATGACAGTGTTGCTACAAGCCCTAAAACATGCATCAGATACTGGCGCCACCATATTCCAAAAGCGACTTTCACCTTAATACTATTTCGCACCTGCGAGATTTCTCAGTAACGAAACATTGCAGAGAGCTCGAGGAGGCCTTAAATTGAAACTGACACATGTGGCTAGAGGCTAATAGAGCCTGGTTTTTGATATTCGATCTAGATTTATGATTAGAAAAACATCTTTACTAAAGTTAATAAGACCTTTTCGAATGTTGGACTTTTGACGCTGACCATTAATTTGAAGAGTAAAATATGGAAAATGGCTTTAAAAAAAAAGGCCTAAAAATAAACTTAGATATTTCATATTTCAATTTTCGAGATTCTTCGAGTTCGAAAAATACCTGAAAGATCGATTTTCTAGGAGGTCTTTAGTAAACCAGTTTGGATCTATCAGTTGTTTTTCATAGGTATATAGTGCAAAGTGTTCTCTCCAAAATGGGAATCAAGCGGAGTCTTCATTTTTTCTTTAGAATTATTAAAATTAAAAGATTCATAACTCAGTCAAAACCCATCCAGATTATGTTAGACTATCAAGATGTACTCTATTTTACCTGCTCAATGCTGTGGAGTTCAACAAAAGCTATACAAACCAACAGAAAATACTTTGGGTTTTAAAAAGGTTTTCTAGAAGCCTTCCGAACTGCAAGAATATTTTTTGCTATTCTTAAGTAAAAAATCACATTGAACAGGTAAAATAGAGTATATCTTGATAGTCTGACATAATTTGAATGGGTTTTGACTGAGTTATTGATGTTTTAATTTTACTCAAAAATAGGCAAAAATGGATTATTTCACCTCACATAGGTTTTCACTAGGTTTTTGGATCTTTTCTGAAAATAAATGCTGTCACAAGATTCAACGTGGTTGAATACCTATGTTTCCATTCGTTTTCGGAATTACCACATCTAAAGAAATATTGATCCTGGAACTCTCAAGAACTCCGATGCCACACCTGAACCAGAAAAAATTAAGAGCCCGCTTGATTCCCATTTTGGAGAGGACACTTTGTACTATATACCTATGAAAAACAACTGATAGATTGCTATCTGAACAACTGATAGACTGCTATTTTTTATACTAGTGTCTGCTGATTTTTCATCTATTTTTCTCTCTACTATCTAACCCTTATTTTTTTCTGTTGACTATATTTGTTGGTCAACATTCTTGAATCGTTTTCTTGTTTTATCCGGTGATACCCTTTATGAAGATACCCTTTGTCATCCAGCTGACAAGGATTTGAAAAACAAAAGCCACTAAAGACCGAAACGGGTCGCGTTGACTCACGTATCGGGTCAGGTCCGGTCGTATCGGGTCGGGTTCAGATCAATGTAAAATATATTGATTCGGACTGGATCAAAGAAAAAAAATATTTCCGATTTTATTCAGATCTTGCCACTAGAAAACAAATCGGAGGATGTTGTCAGAAATCAGAAGATTTTGTGAGCACAATTCAATTTTAAGCAAAAAACAGAATAAAGTCACCACCTCATTACGACAGAACAATACAATTAGACCAGCACAGAATATATGAGTTCAAGAAAACCCATTTATTTTTTGGAAGTTTAAAATTGATAATCATATAGTGCTTGATATATTGTATGCGCTAGAAATCTGTACACTTTAAGAAAATATAACCCGAATTCGATCAGACATCAACTCAACTGAACCAACCCAATCGAAAGACAACCTGATCAGATATGAATAGGGATACAAAGGTGTTGATTTCAATGTAAAAAGGACTCTCGTGTGCTGGGAAAGCAATGATGAATGGGATTTGTTGCTGCAGTTGTTTGGAAGAAGTATTTCAACCGAAAATTTTTAGCAGATGCCACTTTCAAGCTGGGAAAAAACTATGAAAGTGAAGCTTTTATGGATATTTTGATCTGTGTCAAAAAATGTGCAATTGAAACTTAAACCAGCAACCGGTTTTGAATGTTGAAACTTTTTTATTAATACATGATGCGATTAATTACATTCTTTATCGGATTTGTCGCCGTTCTCCAATCCAACTTTCGCCAATGTTCGCCAATAGACAGCGAATATCCACGAAAACTGGTGAATATCTCATAGACGTTCGCCAATCCGTGAATGTCGCCTTAACATTCGCCAATGGTTTAGGAGTATTGTCAAGAGTTATATTATATTAATTATATTATTATTGGCGAATGTCAATTAATAGGCTATCTTCGCAAAAAGTGACTAGAAAGAATGATTGCTTATTTCGTAAAAGTTAAGAGTCATCTAGCAAAAGTTTCTGATATTATTTTGAGAAAAAAAAAAAGACAGACACAACCATATAGGTTGGTAACACGCTTTCCCTACGAAAAAGGATGTAACATCGATCCGAAAATATAATATCAGACTGAAGTGGAAGAGAAAGCGAAAGATGGAAAAATCAATAACAACAAAAATATGACAAATTTAATAATAATAACAAATCAGAACAGGCTTTTATTTTTTTTATTTTGTTAAAAATTGGTAAAAAGCAAAAAATGTTGATCACACAACTTTTGGCTCGTATTCAAGATAAAATGAGCTCACACACAGTCACAAAACACCACATAATTTATCCTAAGAAAAAAACCATTTAAATTTTGAAAATCAGACATATGAAAGTTGAGGTACCATAAATCTTGATATTAGGAACTATTTGAAGCAGAAAAGTGCGCATATACACACTTGTGAAAGAGCAATCGTAACAAAATCGTTTCAGAGAAAGCAACAACGTCATGCGCAGTGTGAAAAAATTAAGCGCAAATCGAAGGTTGTTAAATAAAGAGAGGAGGTGAGAGAAGAAATAATCGCGCGCGAAGTGATAGTCTCTCATTTTTAAACTATCAATACGGACTATCAAATGAATACTGCGGACAGATATTGGCGAATGTCACGTGGACATTCGCCAATACTTTAGGGATATTGGTGAAAGAGACATCACTATTGGCGAATGTCAACTGGCGGATGTCTCGGCGATATTCCCCAATCGTCAATATGGTGAATGTCAATTGGCGAAACGTGACTTTATCTCTTTATCTCTCACCAATAAAGGAATCCTCATGCGTTCGGTTCAACAAGATAAGCAAATAAATCATATATAATATTCTTATTATCTTGTTCCTGTAATAAATAGAGGTTTCTGTTTTAGCGTATCTTTATCTTTTCTTGATGTCGCATGCAGATCGAAAAAAAATATTTCTCTAAAATGTTAGAATTTCTTTCAATAATTTAATAATTTTAAGTCAGTGACGATAAAAAGGGAAAGATTTAAACAAGAATCTTGCGCGAGAAAAGATAAAAAACTAATAGAACTGAACTTTTTTTAGTTTTTTCGACAACCTAATAACACTTTTAACATGGGATAACTAATTCAAAAAGTGTACTTTAATTTCTTCTTGTCGATCGCTAGTGTTGTGGAATTTAACGACTCTAAAGTGATCGTCTCCAGCACTTGAAAGATCCATTCTGAAGTAAATTTATGTCTTTTCACTACTCTATCAATTTTTCTGCGTTTGAATCCATTTGAACAAATCACTTAAAATAGCAAAAATAAAGGATGTAATGCAATGACAGAAAAACGAACAAAGGTTTTTAGTTGACCGTCGAAATCTGACTTTATCTTTCTAACTAGACAGTTTGGATAGTAACCTTTGCTGTATATCTCGCAGTTAAAACTCGGGGCGTCCGAAAAATAAATGGTTTTTCTTGAACTCATCTTTTCTACGTTGGACTAATCGTTTTCCTCTGTTGTAATGCACTGGCGATTTAGTCTGTTTTTAACGCTGCTAATCTGCGTTCACTTTCAGTGCATTAGTCCGTTATTTTTTCGTTCTTAACTTTTTTCTGCATTTTCTTATCTTTCTTTTCTTTCTTGTTATTTCACAACAATATGTAATATGTTTTTTCTTCTCTGCCATACACTATATAAATTCACAAATTCACAATGCTCTATACTGTTATATACAAAGTATAGAAAAATGCCAGTTGGTAGATTTCCACATTATACGGCTAAATTGATTACTGACGATGATAAAACAATTTATAGTCAATGGCCAAACTGTCAAGTGTGCAAAAGACAATTTAGATTAAATCAGTTTGTCTTATGCGAAACTAAACCAGTGTTAGTCAATGGTCGTGTAGCTAAAACTAATCACAGATGGTATTCAACATATCAAGTGTATTATCATCCAAGAAATTGTTTTGGCTTTTACATGAGTACGGTGAAGGATGACAAAAAACGAATTCAAAGATTGAGAAGAAAACATGGTAGTGATGATACAACAGATGAGTACGATGAAGCATACAATGATTTATTAAATAGACGTTTTGAAAATTATGATCTAATGTCTGAAACAAATCAAACAATATTACAAGTTATTATGGAGAAGGGCGAATATAAAACTGACAGGAATAAAACTAATTCAGATAAACGAAAACTAGACAGTGATGATGATAGCATTGAGAAAAGCAATAAAAAACGAAAAACAATAACTATATAATCTTTTTTGTTGTTGTAGAGTTGTTTGTACATAAAATCTTTTATGATGTCAATTTCTATCGTTTTGTTTTTATTATTGTTTGTTACTATGCTGCTGTCTTCGAAAATGTGTTCAACAATTTTTAATTCACTTGTACGCCAAGACTAAAATTTGTCCTCTCAATAGTTTACTGAATATTTACTACAACTTGATGATGATGAGTCACTATCGGAACCAATGACAAAGCTTTTTTTCAAAAGCATTTGCTAGAGAACTTAAACTACTATTAAATGGATCACTGTTATCCAAAAGTTTGATCATTTCTCAACTTTTGTAAGACGCTCATTTGATACTTCGTTACTATGTCGTCATTATTATCGGAAAAATATAATAATGTATCATCAGCAAAAAGACGAGTTAAGCTCTTTAAATCATGTCCAATATCATGGATATACATCAGAAATAAGAGCAAACCGAGTATCGACCCTTGTGGAACTCCTCGATTTATTTTCAATGTCCGAGATGTTTGTCCTTTTACAACTGTGATTATCTTTCGATCAGCTAAATATGGATGAAAGTCGAAAAAAAATCGAAAAAAAGTCGAAAAAAAATTTTCTATCGGTTGTCATGGCTTTTTTCATTAATTTTTTAAATTTTTGGTATGATAGTAAATTATTATCTAGTTTAGATTGATGAATTGTAGTCGGCAATGCAGTGGATGGTGTTAACTGAAAAAGATTAACTGTCTCATATAAACTACGATGTAAAAGAGGATGAGCCGCAGGATCTGAGTTGAAATCACCACAGAGAACAAGGGAGTTCTATAGACCAGTCACGTGAGTTAAGAAAAAACTTGATAACTTGTCATAATAAAAATTTTCGGCGCCTGGTGTTCTGTAACAACAGCCAAGAAAAACTGTTGAGGAACGAAGAGTAAGTTTTAGTAATATACATTCTAATTCAGAACAAAATGCTACAATTGAACATGAAATAGAAACAGGTATATAAGCAGCTAAACCTCCTTTAGGGTTGTAATCACCTATCCTAACTCTGTTAAGCCTTACAACAGTAAAACCCAGAATACTAATCTCACTATCATCAATATCGTCAGTAAGAAAAGTCTCTTGGAGACTCACAACAGAAGAAAGATTTTTTGACAAACAGAGTTTTAAACTATCGAGGTTTCCTCGTAGCCCTTCAATATTGTGACAGATGATATTAAAAGGTAAAATACTTGAGACAGGAGAACTAGAAGATGAGGAACAGCTACTTACATCATCGTTAAAAACACTGATTTAAATACTTATTCATCGCGCTAGTCAATTCCTTTATCCGAGCCGAATTTAAATGAATACCATCACGTAAAAGCATTTTATCAGTATAACGGACTTTAATCACATCAGTATAATCATCAGCCAACAACGAAAGCCGTGCGTTAAATTCATCCGTATCAGCTTTAACTTGATCAATTGTTGGCTTTAGACCGCTAACACGTATGTGGCAATGTTGTTAATGCTAATTTAATATTGGGATAAGCGAGTTTAAATTCTCGAATTAAGTTTGCTGTTTTCTCAATAGCCACATCCGGAGTATCATATTTCATGTTGACAATGCCAATACTCATGATAAAACCTTTCGATTTATCAAAATGTTTCCATTTTACAAGTTCTGTCATCTGTTCAATTGTGCATGATGGTTTTGTACGAACTTGAACTTTAAACAATTTACCATCTAATGTAGACTCACCCTGTTCAAGATCGCGAGTGATACTCGTACCAGTAATAGTAATAGAAATCGATGGAGGACGTATGTCTCCATTATTGTTTAATGTTTTCGGTGTTGATGACAATTTTGAATTTATATCAAGTGGCACTGAAATACTTGAATTAATAGGAGAATGTAATGAATCTGTTGATAAAACATTTGCATTTAATCGAATTGGACTTGATAGCTGGATTAAATTTGTCGATGAGCTTTCTTTTGGGTGTGATATAGCAGATGGTTGAACTACAGACGGATTTACCAAATTTTGATGATACATACACATGGTTTTAATTAACAAATCATGTTGATCAACTAGATTTTTCAACCAAAAATTTGACTTGACCAACTGGTTAATACTGCTATCTGTTGTTCGCACGCTGGAATCTAATGAATCATCAGAATTAATACTTTCCGAAAATAAATTGATAAGCCAAATCATCGCTCGTCAAAGATTTCAACTCAACACCTGGTTTATTAATCGAATTTAGGTAAGTTGAGATAACCGGCTGGGATTTCGACATAATAGAGAACGATCAAACAAATGTTATATGTAGCCGAATAACCAATAAAAATCGTTTAGGCAATATATGGAACGGACGTCAATAATTTTAAAATTAAATAAAATTCGGTGAAAATGCTTCAGACACGCCGCAGACTATGTCAGAAAGAAAGAGCAGAAAAAACTGGACACTCTTAGTGTCAAAAGAGTAAACAGAAGTACTATTTAATAGACTTCAGAGTCAAATATCAAACCGGCGAGGTGGACAATCTCTGGAACACGTCCGTTCACGATGATTATTATCTATTAATTGACCAAAGGTGGGAAGGGGCTTCAAATTTTCCGAAAAATTGAAAATGTTTTTTCTAAGGTGCCATATACCTCATTCGACGCAGAATTTCACGCTGATGCTGAATATGTAACTCTTGTTCAAAAATATCAAGCGGAAGATTTTGACCCTTATAAGCCCCCGTCCTTTCGACAATATTGTGTGATTTTATTATATTCTTTTATTTTATTTTAAGGTTCGAACTTTTGTTTTAACTTGAGTAATGCTTAAAAATACACCAAAAATACACCAAATACACGCATTTTTTCACGGTGATTACAAATCCGGATCCAAACAAATAAAATCGAAATCTTCGGGGTAAAAGTTTAAGTTTTTAAATTTTAAATTTAATTTCTCGACCTAGATATTTTTCCAAAATTTCTGAAAACTATACCATCGGATACAGAATCAAATTCTCTACCAAAGGGCTTATTTGTTTTGATGTTTAGATGTCAAATTTTTGGTTTCTTTTTGAAAAAAAGGTTTTGCCGCTTATTTTGTCAGCAGTTTTATGCCCATTTAATTAATCTAACGTTGAAAATTTATTTTTGGCTGTATGGGATGAAGCGCACCTTCAACTATCTATCTATGTGGAAATCAGAGCTTGCAAGTAGTTTGTGACAGAAAATATTGTAATATAAATCTCCAAGTTGATGTTGGTGTGAATAATTGGGCAATAGATCGGTTACAGAGTACAATTGAGCATTATTAATTGTTCGTTTATCTTTTGTGAGACATCAATATGTATGATGTATATCATGATAATTTATTTTTCATATGGCGAAGCAGATGATTTTCGATGAGATAAGACTGTACATATTTGAAATCAAATGAATCACTGTCCGTACACCATAGCCAGTCATCTGTCTGTTTAAGAGTTAACTCAAGTAAGCAAAAGACGGGTGAAATGACTGGTCTTTTTTCCTAGTCCAGACGACCGACTAGTCTTTACGACAAAAACCCCCTTGTCCTGATTAGTCCGAAATTTTAACCGTTAATTAAAAGAAAACCGTCCGTAGCTGTGTCGCTGACTAGTCTGCCTAGACATATACTGACGACGTCTGAACTAGTTTAAATGCAAGAAAGAGAGAAATATGTTAGAAGCGAACATGTGACACTTTGTTTTACATATCTGTGATTTATCAACTGAGCCATTGCGCCATCAGGTTATGCTGGTTTTTAGTATACGTGAGGGATATTTCGCTGAAGCTTTGTAAGAATTTAGGTCTTCGTTGCAACGTTATCATAACTTCCGAATACATAGTTGAGCAAAAACACCTTTTAAAAAGTTTAGTCCATGGTTGCATGTTTGAGACAGGCGGGAAGCTTTCGAAAAAATTGTTTGCTCAAAAATCCTTGTAATACGCATCGTTCAGTTCGGTTTTCAGGCGGATTTCAAATATCACTCGCTTCTGCTTCAAACTCACATCTTTCTGGTGGAATTAGCACAATTTTTCTTGAAAGACTAATCAGAGCGTGCTTGTTGACGGACACAATCGTATTTGCTCAGAACAATGTATCAGACGTCCGTCCGGTCTGGGCGTCAGTTTCTTTGCGCAGACGGTGTAATGGTTCCAACTAAGACTACGGAATTATTCGTGTCATCTTTTCTCTTCTTTGGACTGGTATAGATGGGTACAGCGGACAAAACAGACTGGTCATGACGGGTCGAACAGACACTCCAGACTAGTCTCGACGGGTTATACGGACATATGTTAAAAAGTGGACTAGTCATAACGAGCGAAAGGGACGTTCCAGACTAGTCCTGAAGGGATATACGGACATTTCGGACTAGCCATGACGGCCGTCTTCATTAACTTTTTCCTTATCTGGGAATCCACTAGTCAATTAAAAGAAGGTTAACATATATATAGAAGAAACGAATTTTTCTTCTTGTCGGTGCCAATCTAACGGAGAAGAATGGGCCTCTCAGTATTTGGCTTATAACTTGGTTTCGACTCAAGTCTCTTATTTGCAAATCGTGTTTTATTCGCCACTTCCATAATGAACCAAGATTTTTCTCAGGCAACTTTAAACTAACTTCAGAATGATTAAACAGAAGACGTGATCGACGTGTGTAAAGGATGATTCTTTCGAGCGAGAGCATGCCAGACTTTACATCGACTTTATCCGAATTGTTCGAGAGTAACAGGACTAGTACAACTTGGGCTCCTGATGGCGAATATCACGTTTAAAAGATTCTGAAACAACGGCACGGTGACCTCCTAGACCTGTGAAGATCTCATTTTCCAACAGAATAGACCTTTTTTGCGCATTTTCATCATTTTTTAGTGAAACACTTTCATGAACTGGTACCGTCAGATTAGATTCTATATGTGTAGAGCTACGAAATCACTAACGGACACAAAGTTCCAAAATGTTAAGTACGCTCTCAGGGAAATTTTAAAAGAATCGTTTTTTCCGAAAAGTAGACCGTTTTTCCAAATCATATTTTCCCCATAAGGTCATATCAACACATGATCGCAAGATGTGCATTCGACGCGCCTTTTCAATCTCTATTCGATGAAGTGGCTTTCACTGAGATTAGATTGTAACTTCGAGATTGCAGCTATGGCCAGAAGGCTAGCCTGACAAAAGGTTCTTTCGCTCAATTACTTCAACTTTCCATGCACACTCACTAACTGTGTACTAGCTTTCCCGAAACATGAGGACTAGCTATAGACGGACGCTGTATAGTACGCCACAACGTCGTAAATATGCTGTCAGAAGGGTGATCCAAGGCCAAGGGGAAACAACTGATTTTGGTATTTTACCGATTTCTTTTGATTTGTTGGGGATATCAAGTAAAGAGACTGTGATAAATAGTGCCTATAAGTATTGTCCTATATGTTTTTTATTTCTTTGTGCAGAAAAATGACAATAACAAGCAGCAAACACAGCAAACGATTTTAGAAAACTCGAAACGCATACAGAAGAATATCATAAATAAGAGCTGACGATAAAGAGATTTGAGAAAATATAAAGAGTTGTTTAAAAAATTAAAAATTTTCCAGCTATATTGTAAAAACATTGAAGAAATGTTGGCTAGGAGGCTAGAATTATTCGGTTTTCTAAACATGACTAGCTTGGTTTAAGCTTTAACCTTGAACCAGAACGAAATCGAGAATATAAATTTCCATTACATCATTGTGAAAGTTAAACTACCAAAAACAATCCTTGGAAAGAATTTAATTTTCGTGTAGACTTGCATTAGAAAGCCAAAGAATGACTTGTATGGATTAGAAGTTGTTGAACAACTTTTCTACGATATATATCGACAAACAAGCGCCCCTTTAAATAGAAACCGTTGCATCCACATGAAAAAAGACATCAAAAGAAGTAAATAAACTAGAGAATTCAAAAGCATACATCAAACAGATAGAAGTCTCTGCATATATTTATTTGAGAAAGACATGCAAGATACCTTAGAATAAGAAAGATAATGCGATAGGAAAGCATGATGTAATGTAGATACTCGATAAACTAGTGAAAAAAAATCATTTTTCATAAAAAAATGAGGGATATCCTTTATATCCTAAAGCAAGGTTAGGATGAAAAGATGCAGATGTCAGACAGGAGAAAGTAAATCTTTTGATTCAAAACAAAATCGTGAAGGTGCTGAAGCTGAATGATATATCACGCCGAATTCAATCAGGAAAAGTTCTGAAAAGTGATCGAAAACCACACTTCTTGACAATGCAAACACTCTTTGTGTATCGAATCATATCTATGAAACTAATTAATCTAACGTTGATCAAAACTTTTCCCTTGTCAAACATCGGTTAGTTTTTGTACGCAGAAATTCTTAGATTTGAAAAACCTCTCTTGATTAAAATTTATTGTTTTCGCTAATTCAATACCTAGCTAATGAGCTATTATTAATGGGGTTCCGGAATCTGGCCAAATAAGACTTTCGCCAATAGGATATTCGCCAATGGCGCCAATATACCCCCTGGAATTTCGCCGATTGGCGAATGTCCACTGTACTTTCGCCATTTTGACCGTGAATTAGACGTGGATTAGAAAAGTTCTTAGTATTTAGTTTTCTATTTTTTGTCTTACTTCTGTTCACATGTGTGTGCGCGTGATCTTTTAGTATTATACTGACTGTGGTACACGTTTTCGTCTCTCTATTTTCTTTTTCTTTTTCGTCTATTTTATTCAGGTGCATCAGGTGCATCGTCAGATGAACATTAGGTTACGCTTTACTTATATTTTCTTCATATTAATCTCGCTTTTTTCTCATTAAAAACATGGCTCGCTCATATGCGAATATATCCTAAGTGTAAGCTATGGTATATATATTCTAACAACATTAGCTTCACTCCTCACATGTATCCTATGTTAATATTATTTCGTGACAGCTGACGAAAGTCCACTGTACTTTCGCCAATATACCTCCTGTACTTTCGCCAATGCACCCCCTGCACTTTCGCCAATTGGCGAATGTCCACTGTACTTTCGCCAATACACCCCCTGCACTTTCGCCATTGGCGAATGTCCTGTTGGCGAAAGTCTTATTGGCGAAGTTCCGGTTACCCTTATTAACACGGTTCAGATCGTGTCCACATAATGCATTGGTAACGATCAACGCATTAGTTGAAAACGATTC